CCAATGTGGGATGCTTTGTTCTTAATTTTGATTATTTTAAGAGTTCTTTAGCACATCTAATGGTCTCCCTAGATAAGGATTTATAGGAAGGTCTTGAGAGCTGTCAGAGTAATGTTTTTTCCAGCAGCAAAAACTTAACCTCCTCTTAGATCTTCATTTCTGTCTTGTCCAGGGTGTAGCTGCAGCGAGTGCTCAGTCACAGCCATCAGGATGGAGGAGATGTGTTGTCAGTTGTTTTATTTTTGATCCCATTTGAATGTGTCAGTCAACTGCCTCGAATCAAAGAAAGTGAGAAGGAGCCTTTAACAGTTGTGATTGGAAACTTCAGACTTACCTTTTTTCTTTTTTTTTTTTTTCATTTTTATAGACACTAACTAAATGCTTGGCAGGTTCTTGTGAATCATAACATTTCTAAATATATCAAAGAGGCTCTTTGCCAAGCTGCTGGTGAAGGTGGTGTCTATTCCTATTGACTCCTTTTTTCCCTTCTGATTACCTTATCATTTAATAATTTCAAATCTTAATGCAAAAAAACCCAAAAAAACAGGGACTCCTAACTAGGCTGGCTAACACTGTGATTAATGAAAGTGTAATGCGAGCTACTGTACAGCCATTAGAAACCAGTTAGCTAATTAGTGTAATCACAGAGGTGGAAATAATTAAAAGACCATAAAATAGAGGTAACCTAATAACAACATTTTCCTCTGACCCAGAACTGGTGAGAAGAGGATGGTTTGCTGGGTTAGGAGCAGAGAGGAGTGGAGATGGAAGGTTCTGTGAGTAATCACTGTCAAGGAGGTCTCAGGGCACAGATAAGTAGAACAAAGCAGATTTTCCACCAGCATAATCCAGATTGCAGCAGAGTCCTCTGGCAACAACACTTCACACCACCACACCCTTCCCCCCTCTTATGCTTTGTCACAAGTTTAGTGACAAACTAATCAAGACACGGGTGAGGCAGGATCCAGCTAGTTTGGTCTTTCTTACTTTTTTGTTCCCTTTCCTCTTTCCCAGGTTATTAACAAATACAGTATTAAAACTTCCTTCACCTTGCATTCTCTGAGTCCACCAGGTTTGGTTTCAGGAAGAGGAGAAATCAGTGTCCTAAGGTGTTCAAGAAGAAAATCCTGTTAGAGGATTCCCTATATTTATAGAGCTTCTAATGTATTTATGTATGTTATTCACTGTAAGTTTCACAAAACTCTACAGCTCGTTGAAAAATCTCTTGCTAAGAGGAAAGAGCCTTTCTGGACAGAGGAGAGTGGTGCAGTGACTGATGAGGGTGACAGTCACTGCCTGAGCTGCTCCCAGGAGCTGGTGCCAAGCAGATGTGCCCCCTTCACCTGCAGCCTTTGCACTCAGGTTGGTGCAGACAGCCCAAGCCCTTTGGGCAGTACCAGCACACTATTGTGGTGGTGAATCCTAAACGACCCCCAAAATGTGTGCCCTGGTGCTTCTCTAAGGGGCCTCCTATGCAGGACTGTTCAGGTTCATCTCTTGTTAATGAGAGATGTGGGATGGTGTGATGGGCTGGATCTCACCCCTGCTGATTACAAGTGACCTACCTCTGGCTGTTAGGTGAAATAGCTCCGTGTAACAGGCAATAAAAAATCCTAACTGGTAATTTTCCAGTTGGGATGGGTCACCACTGTGGCCATCTCCATCGGTTCTTATCATTTCTGCCACGGTTTGTGTGTGTTTCATTTGACCTGGGTCTAATGAGCAGAGAAGACTGAACAGTAGCTGCAGACACACAATCAAGGATCAGCAGCCGGAGCTGATGAGTCTGCCGAGACTGCTAAGTGGGTCTTCATTAGCTATTCACATGCAAAGAGCAATCCTTATTTATTCTTCTTTCCTAGGTGAATCTATTTTTGAATATCTTCTGTACTGATCTTGTCTGGGGGGGTGGGAGGTTGGATGGAGGGTACTACCAGTGCCGGTTAACCAGATGATTGTCCTGAAGAAATAGAGTGTGACATCAAGTTGGCAGCAAGTTGAAAAGAAGAAACAATGTGATGCCATTTAGAGAAGGAAGGAATCATTTTCCCCTGTGACTTCTCTGGTGGGAGGCAGAACTTTATCTTCTCTTTGCAGCTCAAATGAAGCATCACAGCAGTAGCATTAACTGTGCTTCCACTTTCCCAGCTTGTCTTTTCATTAACTTTTTTTTTTTTTTAAATTTTATTGCTGTAGCAGGGAACACGCTTTCCAGGGAGGGTTTGCAAGGGAGTCAGTGGAGCTGCAAGCCCAGGATGTCCCAGGCATGTCCCCAGGCTGCCCATGTGGTGTTATTGCAGCCAAAGGGGTGAGCTGGTGGTCTGTGCTGCATGTACGTGGGCTTGCACTGAAGAAAGGAAACCTGATATATGTCTACAAGTCTGATGGAGAGGGGGTTTTGGAACAGCAGGTCATGGTGAACCTTGTTCCAGGTGCCCATTTGTCCCACCAGATCAGCTGTACGAATCACACCCTGGGACATCCTCGAGGATGCAGACGGGTCAGTCCTTAACCCTTGGCAGCACCAGCGGCTTCTCGAGAGAAAGGTGCCTTTTCATCTGCACAACCCCTTTTTCCACACCGGGCATTACTTTAATGTTTTCATTTACGCTTTTCCTAAAAGCCGTGTTCCCGCGGTGCTGGGCCGGTCGGGTGCGGATCCTCTCGCCCTCCCGGCCGCATCCTCCTGTGGCGAACGCTGCCCTCTCCCGACTCGCCGGGTATCAGCGGTGGCTGAGCCGGGGCCCAGCACCCTCCGCCAGCACCAGCCCTGTCCCCGCTGCACCGTGCACAGAGCAACGATGTCCCATCCCAGTGGGCACAAACCAGGGCGGCTCCTGATCCCCCGAGGTGATGGCCTTGCCCCATCACCTCAGCCTCCGATGCTAGATCCAATCTGCATCCCCCTCGGGCATCAGGAGAGCGCTGCTTGAGGAACCACCCAGAGCACTGCACTCCTGCAGATTTCCATTTTACCAGACCAACCCCTGCCCTTCCAAACCTGCCCACTACCTTTTTCTTCATGTTTTGTCTTTGTAATCTGGTTGCGTAGGCATGAGTACCACGCTCCTCTGAGTTATCTTTTCCCAGCTGAGTCTATTTGTGCCGCAGACTGTGTGGGTGCCACCCTGGCAAAGCCACGTTTAGCGGTGTGTTGCTCCAGGAAAGCACTTTTATATGAACAGGGATGTGAGACAACCACTTGCACCTCTGGGCTTGGCAAACAGCTGATCCATGAGAGATGACTTTTTCCCCCCCCACCCCCCCTTGTGATTTTGACCTTATTTGCTGATAGCGGAACATCATTCAGCCCTCCAGCAAATACCACAAGTCTTCGATCTGACATGAGAACATAAATCTTCTGTAAGAGTTCATCCATTCTGCATCTTGGGTCTCTGGAACCAAGTTGTGGATATCGGAGTGGGAATCTCAGCATCCTGAATCCAGCACTGCAGAGCCTGAGCCCCTGAACCTATTCAGCCTGGGGAAAAAGCATCCCCATGGGGTCAGGCCCTTACTCAGCTGGTTTGGCACCAGTTCCTCATGGAAAAATTGGGATCTTTTGGCCCGAATCACCTTGAGCATATTAATTTTTTTGTAGGACAGGTGAAACCCTTCCCCTCCAGTTCCGTGGGTCTGGCTGAAATAAAACACAGCTTTGCAGCTCCACCCTGCAGACTCCTCTAATCCCCTCCTAGGAGAGTGCTCAAAGGCTGTAGCGTTGCTGGAGTCTCAGGCTCTGCACAGCACGCTCAGCAGTGCAGCCCCAGCTCACACCTCTGACAGCGCATTTCCTGAGCGCGGTGCCTGCAGGTCCCTGACCTTACTGTGCAATCAGCCTCTGTGGGTTGTGCTTCCCCCTGCTATTCTGGGGGACCACAGAGGCCTTTCCGGGAAGGCAGCCCTGGGGCTCGTGTGCAGCTCACTGAAGGTAAGAGGTTATTTGTGGGACAGTGTGGCTCCACATCTTTCCACCTCCCACCCACCACGAGGGGTTTGACAAACATCATTTTGCTCGTGAAGTTCATGCTTTTACATCCAGACTGTTCCACTTGGGGTGCATTCATCAGTGCAAACCTCGTTGCTTTGCGGGTCATTCCCAGAGCAGGGCCCTTCAAGCCCCACTGGACCCAGGGAAGGGCTCATCCACCTTTGCACTTTGCTATGTTTCCCTCTGGATCAGTTCAGTGACATTCCCAATCCCCATTGCTCTGGGGATTATTTGTTTAACTGCACACACAAAGATATCCCTTAAAAAGCCCCAGAAAACTTAATTTTTTTTTTTTTTTTCTGCCTGGACCACCTTTCCTTGTTTTACCACTAGATGGGAGAGTGAGACTGAGCTAACTGAGCTGCTCCCATCCTTATCCCGGTAGGAATTCCGAGGGGAGAAGACTACTGAAAAGTGCCTGCAGGTCATCCTGCAAATCCTCCTACCTCGGGAAGGGAGTGGGTAGCCCCCAAAATGCCTGGTTGTTTCCTAACCCCAAAAGTGAATGGTTATGGGGGACTAATGCTTGCCTGGTGCTTTACCAAAATACCAGAATGCCAGCGGATCTCACTCTGGAAGGGGGATTCACTTACACAAAGGCTGGGTATATTTTTGGGGTGAAATATTTCATATTTTTTTTCCTATCCACCTGTCCTGGAGCAGAGGGAGACAGGGGAAACACTTGCAATTCACTCCTCTCATCCACACCCCAAATCCTGCTTCCCAGGAATCCAGGTGACCCCAAAAATTGTTTGGGGAGGTAAAGAATCACAGAATCACAAAATGGTTAGGATTGGAAGGGACCTCTGAAGATCATCAAGTCCAACACCCAATAGGTAAATGTAAATAAAGCAGCATTTTCTCTTCCTTCTCTTCCCCAGTATTTCCTTTCTCCTATAGGATTCTTGTGTAATGATACTCCCAGTAAGAAAATAAAACTGGGCTGTTGCAATGATTGTACTTGCAGGAGGAGAATTCTCCTGAGACTTCCCAAGGTTTTGCTGAGACTGGGTATATTCAGGAATTTTGTAGTTGTAGAAGCAGTTTCTCAACCAAATCCGATTGTCCAGCTTACTATTTTTACTATTACGAGGTTTGGGACTTTGAAGAGGAACATCTCTACTTGCTTCCTGAGATTTCACAGATTCTGAAAGAAATTTCACAGGAGACAAATTTTTTGACTGCCTACGTCAGAACATGTAATCCCTGTAAAGTGGAAATAATATTTTTGGGGGGTTTTGCTTTTTGCCCAACCATCCTAATTTGCAAACTCTTTAGAGAAGTGACTCAACTGATTTGCTCAATGCCTGCCACAGTTTGGCAATGAGATGAAATAATTCAAATAACTTCCCTAACTGCAGTGCCCTCGTTGCCTCTGTTGGGGTGTCTTGGCTTTGCCTGCACAGAAAATATCTGTCATTATCCTGTTAGACATAAATAACAGCTTCTCTGGAAGACAAAGATTGCACTTGTTACTGGACCTATCTACTCCTATTTTCCATAAGCAACAGCCACCCCACCCTGTGAGTGCAATGAGGCCACTGAGTCACCAGCATGAAGCAGTGACGAGCTCATACATCTCGCCAGGGAGGACCCAAAATCTCCTCCAAAGAAGAGAAGAGACATCTTTCTTCAGCTGATAATTAGAGGTGAAAAAATGTTGCCTGGAAGCAATTAAAAAAAAAAAAATAAATAGACATTCTAGACCTGGCAGGTCCAGGGCACATCTGCTTGTGCAAAGGTTTGCTTGCTCAAGCCCTGGCAGAGGCTGCTCAGGGCAGAGGTGGAGTCCCATCCCTGGAGGGATTTTAAAAACGTGTAGATGTGTCACTTGGGGCCATGGTTTAGAGGTGAGCTTGGCAGTGCTGGGGGGATGGTTGGACTTGATGATCTTAGGGGACTTTTCCAGCCTAAATGATTCTGTGATTCTGCCTCCTCCCGAGGGGCATTTTGAGCTCCCAGAGGAGCGCAAGAGTGGGGCACGTGCTGGTGAAGTACAAGGGAAGTGCTCCAAGGGGCTCAGACCTCTTTGGAAGGGCAAGGAGCAGCTGTGTGATGATAAACACCGAGCACAAGTTAACAAACTATTACCATAGTGAACATCAGCCCCAGGACGCCAAGGCATCCCCAGACGGAGGGCTCTGCACAGCAGGAGATTCTGACACCTCCTGATTGTATCCATCGTGAAATCCAGCCCTGATGAAATCCAGCAGGCCAACCTCTCCTGTAGACCTTGATCCTGAAAGAGGAACTACAGGCATGGATTTCCAAAGTCAGCCAGAACCAATTGGACTGAGGCCTTATCTGAGATAGCAATAGAATTAGCCACGTGATTTCTTCTCCATGTTTACAGGGGCGATATTTTTCCAAAGTTCAAAGTCTTTCTCTGCAGGAAGCATGTGATGTGCTTTGCGCAGTCACACCATATTTTGGTGCTATGAACAATTAAAAAAATCAATTTCCGGAGCAATATTTTCTATGTTTGTAATCTCTGAACTAATTACAGGGCTGGAAAATCAATACCTATCTGGAAATCTTTCCAATACGGCTAACTAAGCATGCTACATATCATGCTGTTATATATTCTTCACAAACACACGCTGCTCATGACTATCTCCCAGATCACACAGGCAGATGATATCACTGTCAATAAGCCTCTGTGCTTCACTGCACTGCAATGGCAGCATTTACCAAAATCTGCAGGGGGGATTGGGCAGAGCAAATAGCACAGTACATGAGGGCTGGAGCAACGCTTGTGCCAGCATTTTAAGCCAACGACAAAAAACAGTTGGAAGGCTGATTTAGTTCAACAGGAACCTACAAAAGAGATTATGAAATAAAGTCATTAAAAGTTCATGCCTTAGTCATTATGTTGTTTTTTCATCATGCTTTATTAAAATAAAAAGTAAAACCTCTTTCACTAGTTTCCTAGCAAGAGAGAAGCAATGTTAAATGGGTAGTTTGGTGGTGATTGCACATCAAAAACGCACGTAAAGAGGAAGGGTGTTGCTCTGATGAACAGATCTCCTCTTGCTGTACAAACACACTCTGTTGACCGTGGCAAGTCAGTTGGAGCCGGAGCTCAAACCCTTGTGCTGATGCTCTTCACCGCTTCCCACACACACTGCAGGCATTGCTGGGATCGTCTCCAAGATGCTGCCGCCTCCCTCGTGCCCTGCAAGAGCTCAGTGTGCTCTTCCTTGGTATGCTGAAGTTTATGTTGCTGCTAAATGAAGAGGAAATATTCCCATCGGACACAGTGCCAGCAGCACAGCAAGTGGATAAGAAGCACAGACCACAGTACAGGGGATTTTCCCCAGGCTCCTGTTTGTGCTCCTGCTTGGTACAAGAAAGTGATGAATTCTGAGCTGTCACAACGCCACAAAATATTTGCTCTGATTTTATATGTTTTTCTCTGATTATTCCTCATTTACCCCCACCATGAACTGACATCTCTGCCCTCGCTCCCTCCCCAAGCTGGGGGATTTCTGCAGTTCTCCAAGGTGGTGTTCCTCATCCTGGAGTGGAACTTTGGGTCAAGCAGCCCATGCCTTGTCCCAGCCCTCATCTCAGGAGACAGGCCACGACTTATAGTCCCTCCTAAATAATTTGGCAGGTTAGTTATGCTCAAAGAATTTAAATTTTGGAGCTGGACATGACTCATGTAGTGATCTGGATTGGAACTATTGTCATTATTAATTTCTGTTTGCATTTCTGTAGCACTCCCACGTGCAGCTGAGGATTTCCTGTACATGGTGCAGCACACTGGCAAAGAGAAAGGAGCCCTTTCTGCCAGCTCCAGGCTGACAGCCTGCCTGGAACAGCAAGCCCAGACCTGAGAGAGGCTGGGGGTGTTGATGGCGACAGCACCCAAAACACACACTCCAGTGGTGTTTGCTAATCTGAGCTGTTTCCTGCCAAGAAGCAACAACTAAAAAAATATTGTGCTTATCATTACCACAGTAAAAGTTTCTCTTTTAACATCTTAGGCTGAAATGACCTTGATGGTGATGCAGAGCTGTGCGTGCCACGCACTGCTCAGGCTCTGCAGGAACAGACCTACAGCTGCTGCACTAAACTTCAATGTGTCTTCTCTTCAGATGATGATGTCTTTGAACTTTCCTATTATTCTTGCCAATCTAATGTCATATTTCCTTCAAATAAAACTCAGTTGGTGTGTGAGAACTCACTTCTGTTTCTCTCTTAGGAAAGGAAGGCTGCAGTGTCTGTGCATCACCTAACGGGAAAGACCTCAGGACAAAGAGCTCAGACCCTTCAGAAATCTCTCAAAGAGAAGCTCCAGCTCTCCCTTATCTCTTCCAAAGTTAACACATCACACTTTGTACATGCTCAGCAACAAAGTTCCTAATGTTGTTTCCCGATAACCCAGAGGCCCAGTATGGCAGTGCCGCTGCTGTTTCATAGAGGATGAGAGCGGGACACTTGCTCCCCTGGCTGCCCACAATCAGCACTTGGGGAACATCCCATGCTAGAGGTCTGCACAGAGATTATTGGGTTTCACAGCCACTAAAGCATGTGTCACCCAAGAATTTGTATAATTCTTCCTCAAATACAGTTACACTTTTGGCTCTGCAGTGCCTCCGGCACCAGTTGCTGCTGTTTAATCAGGAGCTACTTTAAACCTCCTACTTCATCCTTTCATTTACAGGATCCTTTGCTCTAGTAGTAATAAAGGCAGCTCACAGAGTTGAGCAGAATGGATTCTGATGCTCCACCTTGCAAAGCCAAAGAGTCTTACAGAGGCAGGATAACACCAAGTCTGGTAAAAATCCCAGGGATGGATTTTCAGAAGTTCATTTCCCAGTGCAAGCCAGCACCAGCCACCACTCTTGAAAAAACCCATCTTTATTTGTTATTTATTACATGTTTCCTGTGAATGAATTTCTGGGTCAAATTAGAGTTGTAATAAAACTCTAAAAAAAAATCTTGTTTTAGAAAAAAACCTGGATCTGTCCTTCCGCCCTGGAGATTTGTTGCTTGTTCTGCAACAGGAGATGTGAATCATGGAAGTATCTATAACAGCAATATTAGGAAATGACCATTCAGGCACTAGAAATCTGTATCAGACATTATGCCTTTAAATAAATTGTCTGTTACTATGTTAATCTAATCTTGTAAATACATGCACACTTAACTATATTAAAAATGCAAATGCTCCCAGAACTGGACTTCACATGATGAACGTGAACTCCCCTTTTTTTTTCCTTGCCAGTTCTGCATATCTTGGAAAAACAAGGATTGTTTAATTTGATAGGCATTATTAAGGTTGATGTCTGCACAGATGTAGCCAAAAGATTGCCACGATCATCTCAGGTCCCACGTGGCTTACAGGACTGAACTCGAAGAAACATCTTTCAACAGCCACCAGTGACAGAGAAATTCCAGCCCTGGGAGCACCTTCAGCCAACTGACTTCCCTTCTGTGGCACTGAATTTGCATTCATTAAAATCAGAGGTTTAATGAGTTATGGAGATTTATAAAAAATGGCAGCCCAGAGCTGCTGACACTCCCAAAGCTTCTGACAGAAGTACAACACATCATAAATTCACCCTGGTGTGAAATATTGAATGAAAACCAGTGCAGGTATATCTGCAAGTGTCAACATGACCCATAAAATCAGGGATCCAGGCAAACTAAAATTATCAGTGCACTCCAAACTCGAGGAGATAGTAATACATATAATGACAATAATATAATGATGTTAGTAATAACACTGCTAATATGATGACCAGTCTCCTTGTCATTGTTTATTACCATCACTGCCCTGATAATTCTTCAAGAATGGACAGAGGCAGAGATGGCCCCACGCGTTCAGAAACAATGTCTGTGCATTGGGAAACAAATTCCAGCTTCTCCTATTCCTTAGAGCAGCTACCAAGATCCTTAGGATAAGCCCAGTTGTGGGTAGACTCTGGAGGAGCCTTCTGCCACTCAACAAGCAAGGTGTGCATTGGCTCACACTGAGCCCCAGGGGCTGTAACACCAGAGTTTAAAACAAACTTCCCCCTGGGATAGGACTCCTTTTCATTTACAAGTGAATCAGCAGAGATGGCAAGGCTGATATGCCATGCCACTGCCCAGGATCTTTTATAGATTTTTGCAGGAGGTAGATTTCTTCCAGGTGACCTCTGTTCTGCCTTGCCACACCTTCTTCCTTGGATACCTTATCACAGTTGTTATTAGCTCATGCAAATCCACAGCACAAGCTCTTTGTCTTTACGTCTCCCTCATCCAAGAGGTAACCTATTTTGAGAATTTGTCCAAGCAATCACCAGTAACTAAGTGAAAAAACTACTCTGCACCTCTGAGGACAACTTCACCCAAGGCAGGATGGACCAAAACATGTGTGGAGAAGTGAGCTGAGCTGAGCAGCGGGGATGCATCCCCCTGCAGCCAGAGCAAGTGATGACTGCAGCTCTGCACAGTTGAACAGGAAATGTGGGGGGATTCCCCAGCTCGGACACTTTTGACGCACCGCTTCACCTTTGCACGTCTGTTGTCCTTTCCACTCTGTTTATTTAAAATACAAATGGTTTGAAGCAGGGCCTTACTCATCACTGACTGTACAGCACCAGCCAAAACAGTGCCCTACCCTTACTGTGCAGGAAATGATTTGTATATAATAAAGCAACAGGAGTGTGTGTACATGGAGCAAATGCTTCCTGGTTTTCCTGACCACACCACGCAAACAACGGGCTCTCCTCCACTTCCTTTTGCAGCTCCCAGTTTACCAGCAAGAATCCCATTCACCTTCAGCTCCAAGGGGCACAGCAAGGATGAGACAAAAAGGCAGCACCTCTCAGCTCTATCCTGGAGCCACTGCTTCAGAGGAGAAGGAGGAGGCAGTGACGTGAGCAGCACATCACCGCAGCCCGGGATGAGCCTTGGTGAGCTGCTGGGTCTGCTTCTACTTTGGCTCCTGCCCCAGCTCTCAGTTCCTTGTGTGTCCCTGAGCCCCAGCAGCAGCTGTGGGAAAGGTACAACACTGCTGCCCCTGCACTGAGCAGAGAGGGGACCGCAGGGCTCAGCATGGTGGCTGGATGTCAGATGTCTGCCCACGCCTTTGCCCTCCTCCCTGCCTCGCCCAGTGTTAGCTGGGCTTTTCCATTACCCAGGTTATCCTGCGCACTCTGGGAAATGGAGCACTGATTGCACTTTAAGAGCTAAACATACAGTGCCTGAATTATTTATCTGTGAACATGCAGAAACGGGCCAAATTCCCAAGTGATGTGGAACCGCTCCTGTAAAAAATGCAAAAGGGGCTGCAAAGGCTTCACGGGTATGCAGTGCAGGAGCTGCATGGTCAGAACCTCACACATGCACATGTCACATCTGCTGAGATTCTTCCTGACAAGGTGGTTTATGTGCTGGAGGATGTGGAGCGCTCACGAGTGGGTGCTGGTCTGGAAACTCATCTGTAGAACTGAGCAAGGGCCCTCTCTGTGCCTCAAACCAACCACTGTGACAGCAAGTCCCCAAAGAGCAAAGAAAAAGGCTCAAACAAATGTGTTAATGCAAATACAAGGGGTTCGGGGTGTCCCACAGCTTTCCTGCTCAGCCCCCTCAGCTCCGGAGGGGTTGTGCCTCCTCTGCAATCATTAACTGAGCCGTGCCCAGCCTGACAGTGCCTGGCACGATATCGTACCCGTGTAGATAGCGCCGCAATAGCCGCGTTTGTGCTCCAGGTTCAATAATGCCCCTGCATCTGCCCCTGCACTTTCCCCTTCATTTTACTCCAGCTCCACTCCAGCAATAGCTGGAGGAAAGATGAAAATCCTGCCTTTGCTCTCTGTCACCACAGACATAGATGCAGCTCTTTCAGCACTGCTGCAGGGATGTACCCCAGAATTTCTCCATGAGCATCCCGAGGGTGCAGGGAGGCTGGGATAGCCCCGGAACGAGGGCGGGCAGCCCGAGAGCTGCCTGGGGGCTTCACATGCCACGGGAAATTGGGCAGTTTTGATATGATGCCGAAGCCCTTACCCTTGTTCCTACCCATAACCCTACCCCTAACCTCAACCCTGGCACTATTCTCTCCTTACCCCCCTTCCTCTCCCTCTCCTATCCCTCTCTCCATCCACCCCTTGCTGTCCCTCTGCCCCTTTACTCCCCCTCCAAACCCAGGAGCCTTTCCCTGCCCTTCCTCTCCCATCCTCGACCCTCTCTCCCCATCCCCTCCCGTCCCCCCCCCTTCTCCCACTCTCCCGCCGCCTCATCCCCACTTTCGCTTCGGCCTCAGTTTCCCCACCATTGGCCCGGTCGCCGCCCGCGTCCGCCGCCGATTGGAGAAGGTGCTCGTCCGTCAGGACCGAGGTGCCCGCCCCGGGGAGCGCGGGGGCGGCGGAGCGAGAGCGGCGGCGACGGGAGCGGCAGCGGCAGGTACCGAGCACCGCACCGGGCACCGCACCGGGCACCGCACCGGGCACCGCACCGGGCGGGGGGAGGGATGAGGGGCTGGGGGCTGCCCGGGGGACCTTCCCCTTCGCGGCAGGACCTGCCGGGAGGTGCCACACGCGTCTGCGGGAGCGGCGCGGGGGAGCCCCGAGGAGATGGGGATGGGCACGGGGCATCCTTGGGGCGATGAGAAGCCCCGCGGAGGGATGAGGAGCCCCACGGGGGGATGAGGAGCCCCACGGTGGGGCGGGGGAGGCTCAGGGCTGGGATGAGGTATGCGGGGAGGCAGCCCTCGTCCCCGGCGTGCGGGCTTTTGTGTGCGCTCGGTGGGTCGGGGAGCAGAGCTCGGGGTCCGTGCCGGGAACAGCCCGGTTGATGCCACGGAGGGGGGGAAGGAGTCACCGAAATGGCCCAACTCATTGAGGATTTTCCGCTGGCGATGGTCCCCGGGGATGCTTCAAGCCTGTAACTGAAATTTGTTAGAACTGATTCACTGCGGTTTGGGCTTTTCCTTTTAGCGAAACCGTGTCTTTCTATGCTAAATTAAAAAGGTGCCGAGAAAAGGCGGAAAGTAAGGGAAGGTAGTAAAGTGGCATGGCAAAAGGATCCTTGCAACAAGAAAAAAAATGTTAATGATAAAAAACTCCCTGTTTCACTGGGGCAGTAACTGAAGGAAGTACCAGGCAGGATGCTGAGCAGAATTGGAGCACTTTAGTCACTTGCCCTATATTACTTTTATAACCCATTTGTTCAGATGATAATAATCAAAAGCCG